GGAGACTGGAGGGGGAAAGATCTGCCGAGTCACGCCCCTCCCCAGGTTGGCTGGCTTTACCCTTGCCAGCCATTCTGTTATCCTTCCCTTGGAGGCCAAGCTACACGAGAGGAGGGGGAGGAGGAGGTTCCAACTGGTCTGTTTCTTCTCACCCTGGGCCCTGTGGGCATCTTCCAAGAGGGCAAGCAAGGGGGCTGTGATGGCCAGGAGGGGGGTGACCGGAGTTCACAATGCCACACACTCCCCCCGCCAAGTAAGGCTGGCCTGAGCAGCTGTCCAAGAATCTTGGTCCAATTCGACCCCAAGGCGATTCAGTGGGGTTTCTTTTTTCAGTCTCTGGAGTTCTCCGGCAACACACAGCACACTCCTCAATCTGCCTTTTCTCTCCTTGTGCATTGCCTTCCCACGTGGGGTTTCGGTTTGTGTGTGGCTTCCTTGAGGAGCAAGTGTTCCAAAGCAGAGCCCTGAGGGCTCCCAATATCCCTAGGAGGCCTGACTGTGTCCAGGCTGTTTCCTGCTCTTACAGAAAGCGCCCAAGAGAGATGCAAACAGATCCTCCGGTGTGCCATTGGCCAGAGGCAGCTTTCCAGGGTCCCTTCCTAGATATGGTGGGGAGCAGGGGGTGTGCTTTGTGCATACGTTCAAGGGAAAACCTTCCTGCAATTGGACTGGACTTCTGGGAACTTCCGGGACCCAAACCTGCAGTTGTCTTGGGAAGTGGCTGGTCCTTGCCTTGTCCAAGCTCAGGGAGCACCTTCATTTCCACCCTGAGTTACAACTATTCTCCTGCATTCGTACCTCCCTTTTTGTCCAGGAGGGCTTTAGAATTCCCAGAATCCCAGAGTTCTTGGGGGAATTCTTATACAAGCGTTAAGCAGATCTACTTAGCCCTTGAGGTCAACCCAGGTCAAATCAGTGCTGCCACCTAAGGCGAAGGAGGTGGGGCTTTTAACAGCCCTGGACAGGTAGGGGAGCAGCATTAGGGGGCAGGGGGCAGGAGACTCACCTGGGAATAAACGGAGCCTGGCGGCATTGGGAGCGGGGGTGGATTTCAGCAGGAAACCCCCATTCCTAATTAAACAACCTCCATCCTCCTGTTGAGGGCCAAGACTGAGCCTAACATATGGCTCCTCTCAATCCACCCACCAGGTTTTCCATGAACACAATATGTGAAAATACAAAATGTTTCAAAGGCAGAATTTAGCATCCTGCAAATTATCTCGAAAACGTGGCTCCAGCCCTTCACGGTGCAAAAATAAGCTCAAAAGTACGTGGGAATGTTTTAGGAAATGGAGCAAAGTTTCCAGTTCGTGGAGGAGGGAGATGCTCCGCTGTCCCGTATCCGAGCAATCGCCCGATAGTCCAAGGCCGGTTCGCTAGCAAGAAGGATGGTGGGGCAGAGGTGACACTTGCTGTCCCTCTGGATCAAGAAATGCAAAACTGATTGTGGGGAGTCTGGCAGGTTGAACAAGGCCCCTCCTCTGATCTACGATTCTCCCCAAGTTAGAGATCAGGAAACAGAAGCCAGGAGCTCCTTTCCTGAAATAAACGGGGGTTTGAGGCTGTGCCCTGTCCGCCTTTCTGCCCAAGCCCCCACCTGCCTCCCTGGGGCACTTTAGGGCCAGTTGGTGGGGTGCAGAAGAGCAACGTGGCTGGGCCAGTGATGTTTGGAACAATGGGGTCATTTCCCCTTTGTGGTGCCTGTGTGTGCATGACCACAAGGATAATGGGGGCAGAAAGAGACCCCCACGGAAGCAGAGCAGGACAGGGTGGCCATGCCACAGTGGGCTGGGAAAGTAAGAGAGTGCCTTCTTCATCATTCTGACACACGCGTGTGCTTGCACACACACACACACACACACAGAGAAATTCTGATGGAGAACAAGAGCGCAGGAAATCAGCCAGGGAATCTTTGTGTCCAGGAAAGAGTGAAAGAGATTTCGCTAAGGGTGGCAAGTGGTTCTCTCCCAGCTCCCCCAAACTAAGCAGAAGGGCTTAAACACTGAGAATCCGGGCAGGGCTTGCCTAAGAAAAGCGAGTGGGACTTTTGGTGCAGGGGAGGGGTTGTCAAGCAAAACCAAAGCCGGCGAAGGCAGGTTCAGCAGCACCAACAGCCCTTGAAGTGGAGGGGAACGCACTCCGTGGGGCTTGGCGTTTGCATTTCACACTGCTGCCCTCTGCCGGATGTGGGGGGGGGGTCATCCCTCCCGGTGCAGAGCTCACTCTGGATCTCCAAGGGTGGCTGCTGCTTTCCATGGGAGCCCGGCACACCCATGGCTTCTGCCCCAAAGGTGATGCCCTCCAGGTGCCTGCTCTCATCATTCCCAGCCAGAATGGTCCATGGAGCGTCCAGAAACTGCAGCTGGCCCAGGATGCAGCTGGAGGAATGTCGGAGGCCTTCCAGGCAGAGGCTCTTGGAAGGCTGCCCTGGTCACCAGCTTGTTTCCCAGCACAGTTCAGGCTGTTGGAATGTCCTCCCAAGTGCTTAATCTGGGCTTCCCCAAGGACCACCCCACCCGTTTCCTCCCCACCAGCTCCCAGCTAAGACCCGCTGGAGCTGTCCTTCCCCAGGGAAGCCCAGCGGAGTCAGAACTGCTTGGAAGAGAGAAGGGGTCTGGGTGGCCTCCTCTCACCCAGGGGACTCCCTGCCTTGGGAGACCAGGGCGTGGCCATTGTTTTCTGGGAGAGGGATTGTGCTGGAGGATCATCTATTTGCCTTTACCGCCCCCTCCCCCCCCCCGCAACAGTCCTTGGAAATCATCCTCAGATGCTGCAGGCCACAGCTCTGGATAACACCCTTCCCTTAAGGAGCCCGCTGCCGGAAACAAGCGTTCAGGTTATCTGCCTGTCTGTCTGAGGAAGGCGGAGCATTTGTCATTCAGGGGTACTTTGCTCCCCAAGTCCCAGAATATGGGGGGGGGCGGGGCGGGGAGGAGATGGATGGTGCCTTCTTCAACAGCCGTCTTTGTTCTCTTGCTGGCTTACCGATGGCCAGTGACCCAGAGAGGAAGGTCCCCTTAATGGAACACGTGGGCCATGTCTCCAAACAGCTGCCAGAGAGATTCCCCTGGGGATTTAATGGAGCAGAAGGTGCAATCTGCTGCCCTCAGCACTTTGGAGATCATTAAATGGGAAGCAGAAGAGTCTGGAAGGAAAGTGGGAAATCACCCTCGGTGTGGCGAGACCCAGGGTGCATTCCCACTATTTCCCCAGCCTGATGGGGCTCGAGCCCTGAGTCCGGATATGGAAAAAGCTCCCAATTTAGATTAAAAACAAGAATGTCTGAGAAGCTAAGCTAGGAGGGCTGCGTTCGCTAACCCGTTCAGCCATAGGATGGGGCTTCTCAGGATATTTGGAGGTGCCATCTTCCCTCTTTAACCCGGAGTGGGAAATTCTTCTGGTTGTGGAGGCGAAGATGAAGATGAGGCTCAGTGCCAAAGGGCCTTCAAGTGCACAGAGTTGGCACAGGTGTGTGAAACCAGGAGGGTTTGGCAGTCTCAAATCTATTAGACAGCATACCTCCCTCTGGGAGGGTGGGCGGAATCATGACATTGACTTAAAGACCACAAAGTCTTCCTGCTGGAAGCCTCTTGGGGCTGCTTAATTGGCGCTTCCATTCCGGAGCCTTGGGGGTCTCGGTCACAGTCAGGTTTACAAGCTGTTCTGTTCTTCCACGAGAGGCTAGACATTGACAGGGGCCTGGCTGAAATGAAAGCTGGAATACGGGGATAAGATGGGAGGCGGGGGGGGGGGGGATTTTCACAAGGCTTCCTAGCAAATGGTCTGGATAAACCCTTCAACCTGAAAGCGGTGGATTAGCAGTCAGGGAAAGAGGAAGGCAGGGCTTCCAACGGTGCTTATTTGTTTATTATTGCTTTAAAACAAAATAATAGAAAAAGAAACAAAACAAAGAGTAATTGAAATGCAAACACATACAAAAACAACACATATACAGTGCTTTAAAAAGTGAATATGACAGAAAATTGTATATCATTGTAGCAATTAACAGTTTCAATTCTATATACTTATCTAATGTAAATATTATTCAAGTACAGTCCATATACATTAATTTCTAATGCATTTATATAAATATTTTAACCTACTGTATTTTATATGAATGTGTTCCATATTGCATCATACATATCTGTACAAAATCTGCATCTCCACTCAAAGGTAACAAGTGCATTCAGGACTTCAATCCACCGGTTGAAAGGGGCATACTTTTACCTTCCCAATGTTACAATATATTTGGCCGAAATAAGAGCAAGGAGAATATCAGTTATCAAATTCCATCTTTTAGCGATAGAGCTCCCCTCTGTCACGCTGCAGGCTTCCAACTGTGCTTGAGACCAGAACTATCTTTTCAACATACATACATACATACATACATACATACATACATACATACATACA